TTCCTTCTTGCCGTCGTGATCGAAGAGATGGTCTCGGAAATATACGTTATAAGTATCTTTGCAGACGAAGGTTTGCGGTGACAGTTTGAAGTCATCGAGATCGTACCAGCCCATCTCGTCTTTCCGGGTGATACCGCTGGTACCTTGTTCTTCGAAGCTCTCAAGGAACTTGATCACTTTGTGGTGGCTTTCGAACTCTGGAAAGTCTTTGAGGAAGGCCTCGTTCACCCGTCGCAAGATGTCAACTGCGACATTGGCGGTCGTCGCTGCTGTGGTGAGCGCCAGGCTACGTTCCTTGTATCCGCGCCAGGTTTTGTGGACGAATAAACGAATTGCTGTCATATCTTTGAGGAAACAGAAAAGCGCAAAGGCCTTTTCACTCGTTCGGTTGGCGGACTCCTTAATACGGTAGCTTCGGCTCTGCGTGTCTGTCGACACCGAAGGCATGTAGCCCGATGGCTCAGCCTGCTCTTGAACCAGACTGAGGTGTTCGAAGAAGTTGGATGTGCGATTATCCGTAGATGCCCCTTTCTCGCGTTCTTCCTTGGTCTTGCCTGCTGTCGGCGCTTTGAGCGTGTGGTAATAGTAGTTAAGGATGTCGATGAAGAACTGATGGCCTTCATCATCAATGTCATCACCAGCTTCTCGCTCTGGTTTCGCTCGGTAGAACCCTGCACATTCTTTGCGAGCGGTGATGACACTCCACAAGATAGCTTCGATATCGGTCGGCAAAGTGATCTTAGCCTTCGCAAGGATGTCGACCAAGGTCTTGAATGCGTTTAGAGGTACTTCGCTCACTCCGTTTTGTCGGGCTGCAGCGCGAGCTTGTCCCTTGAGACGTGCGTTCTTGATCAACAAGTGGTCAATGGACTGGATTTTGGCGGCTGATGTTGCCAGCCAAGTAGCTACAATTTGCGTACCACTTTTGTATCTGATATGAGAGGAAGTGGTTAGCCAACCTGGGTAGACGATCTAGATAGCGAACTCATACCGTTTGTAGGTATCCACTAGAAGAGATGGTAGATGATCCATGATAAGCGCCGGCGCTCAAACGCGCGTTCTTTCTAGAGATAGGAAGAGATAGTAGACGCGAGTATTGGACGAAATGACAGAGTATGGAGAAAAGAGAGCTACTGACGCGGAGTCTGTGCGCGCTTAACCTATTCGATACCCTGAAACAGATACAGTCTCAACGACTATTTCCACGAGATGTCTTCTTTTGAACTGCGGAGTCTCAGTTCGACGCTCGTAAATGGTCTATCGATGAATGACTTGAGACGAAAGCAACTTGTACGTATCGCGATTGCGCTGGCAGTGGTAGACTTTCGCCGCAGTTTCCCATCCAAAAGAAGGGACAAAGACGTGTTCGCTCAGTCTGTAAGACAACGTGTATCCAATAATCAAGCGTCTACTTCAAAGTTTTGAATGAGACAAACAGCATGGGACACGCTCCGGTAGTCCTCTCTGCTAGCTCGACGGAATGTCGTCGCTTTCGGGGTCTGCTCGGTCCAACGAAATCAAAGAACGAAGGTCGCGCGATAAGATGGAGCCTGCGATTCTGCTATCAATCACCGAAACAAAAAAGGAAGCCAGCCACTCAGTCCAAGGAGAGGACGATACAATCCACCCCAGAAAACGATTTGGGAAGGGGTGATGGACGCATCGAGCTTGACTCGGCCGATAAGTGACGATAATGACAGGCGATTCAGCTCGAGGGCACACTGGATGCGCGGCAATAGTTCAATGATCGTTCGGTGGCACGGTGCTTGAGGAGAAGGGATAGCCCAGACGAAGTTTGAGGCTCCCAAGGTCCTGCGCTAATCCAATTAGCGCATTACCCCGCCACAACAACTGCCCCAGCCTTCATCGGACAGCCGAGCATACGTGAATTCCAATCACACCAATAGTCACATAACCTAATCTGATCAGGAGTTTCAAATCATGTATCTCATTCCGGTGGCCACCTGGGCAGTATAATCTTTCCAAATGTTTATCCAGCCCTTATTCCTCTAAACCCTTCACATCTCGGAGATATGTATCCGTATATCCCATGCCGAACCGCACACAAGTCATCAGATCCTTAGCCAAGGAAAACCGGTAATCCACTCTCGAGTCAATCAGTAAAGAGGTAGTGCAAGCAGCCGCTCAACACTGAAGGTTGCAAGCCTTGCACCTGCCATCATAAGCATTGCAGACATCATTGTGGCACTTGGCGTAGCAGTTCCTGTCGCAGTTACCCTATCGAAAGCCGCATTAGCATGATACTCCAATCCCCACATCCATATCATCAAGCACTCGAATCAAACTTACCGCACGGCAGCTATTATACTGATCATGACACATCTTGCACACATCCCCCGAGGCCATGCAAGTAGGACCGGGTTTCATGATGCACTGCTGGCCCTTGGGGCACGACCACTTCTTCTGCCAGCAGTGGTCCTTGCATTCGAGGAGGTCACCGTTGCCGCGGTTGCAGTACTCGGCGCCGTTGTTGGAACACTTGTCGCATTTGTCGATGGCGAAGGCGGGGAGGGTGATCATGAGGAGGCTGAGGAGGAGGAAGATGAGGTGGAGGGGTGACTTCATGGTGGTGTTGAGGGTAAGTTTTGGTTATGATTGGTGTTTGGGTTGGTCTTTCTGGAGGAATGTGTGAATAGATGGGGAGAAAGGAGGAGTTGACGAGAGTTGAAGGGAGGGGATTATATATGCTACCTCGGGTGCTTGGAACAGTAAGAAACGCGGTCAGCACGGCGGCAAGGTCACGAAAACGTCAGGAGCTGAGGGGAAGCGGTGGAGAGCCCGGCATGGTTTGACATCACCTTTACTTCAGCGTTTGAAGCCACACCTATCTTTTAGAAAGCTAGCAAGAGCGGTGGGGGAGGCGGCATCCTACACCTTGACCCTCGATATCAGAGTCAGTGCGCTAGACCTCCAGCTACAGCGACCTTTCTCATTGTTAAATTGTCACTGAAAGCCCGTAGTGTCGTGAAAAAGCACATTTACTCTGAGTATCCTCGACGAGTACCCTCCTCAAAAAAGCTTCCAATGCTGTATCGATCCAAAAACTTTGATACACACCCCAGCGTTGCATGTACCCAGCCGATTGAACACCGATCAATGTCGTTCCAAAGACTATCCAAACACACCCCACCCATATACTCCCACCCCAAACGCCTTAAATAGCCCCGCCCTCCTGAATCACGCGTCAGTCGGCCGATACCACGCACCCGCTTCTCGTCCCCCCAAATCCATCCCCCCAACACATCCCGACCACTTCAATCCCCACCCCCACACTCTCCCGGCCAGTTCGGATTCATCTCAGGAGGATAGATGCATTCCCCGTCCTTACACTTGCCGCAGGAGCAGACGATGTACGATTGCCAGAAGCCTTCATTGGTGCAGTGTGAAAGGGTGTAGTCGTCCTCTCTGCTGCAGCGGTCTGCGTCACCGGGCGTGCACTTAGGGCCGCGGGCGTCGTTGGCGAGAATGGAGAGGAAGAGGGTGAAAAAGGTGAGGAGGATGGGGATGAGGGGTGTGGATGACTTCATGTTGTTGGTGGTTTGGGTGGAGAGTTGTTGTAGTTGTTGCTAGTGGTGGGCTGTAGTCTGTTGTAAAGTGATGGAGATGTTGTGGTGGTAGATAGCGAAGGAAAGGTGGACATAAGCAAGAGGGCTGTTATATAGGTCTTAGGGATGTTCAATTCATGCTGCTATACGTGAATGACAGACTGTGGAAGTATGCATGTGTTTGTCATTGAGTACAGCGAACGCATCCGTTGACTCTGTGAGCTTGATTTGTTCCATCAGGAAAACGGAGGGTAGCTGGTTCGTAAAAGTCCTGAGAACATAACAGATCCTCCATAACAATGGGTGTTAGATGATAACATCAACTCCACAGCTATCACTTTCGACCGCCTTCCTTTATTGAAGCATCCCCATCATATTAGCCACCGCTCTGCCATTTCATGCTCAGACTATCGTCTTCTGGTCAGCGAATGCCTTATAGAGGAAGTCTCGACACTTACCATACCTCTGCCAGCAGCCATCTATCGTCCGATACAGTGCGCGGACGCGGTCTCACACCACTGAGGGTAAGGGCACCTGTAGTTCCTCTGCCAAACACCGTTGACGCAGATCTGGACCGCATGGCCACCGGGGGAGCATCGGGTAGCGGCGCGGTGAGGACATCTGTCTGGCTTTGATCCCGAGGTGGCGATGACGGGTACGGTGACTGTGAGGAGGGCCAGGATGGCGGAGAGAGTGGATGTGAATGACTTCATATTGACGACGTATAGGTTCCTGAGGTAGGTGCGATGGGGGATCTGGGTATAGACGGTAGGAGGAAAGTGCAGTTGCAGGTAATGGAATGAAGGAAGACAGCTGAAGGTCTGATGATGGAGAACTTGCGCGAAAGTGAGTACTGTTTGTGCGTGGGTGAAGCTACCTAGGTAAGAGAACTGGTGATGAGTTTTGTTTCGTCAGTGGCATGACGACGCGATGCACGTTTACTCGGCTCTTGCACATGAGGCAGGTGCGGTCGACCCGACCCTCGAAGTGAGAGCAGATGCGGCTTTCCAACACTGGAGACATCTAAAGCGGTTTTCAAGACGATAGTTTACGCGCTGGGCTCCGGAAGGACTTTTGATTACCGGCCTCGTCCAAATATCATCGAGTCTCGGGCGTGCTGTAGAAGGTCTGGACGCATATGTAGGCAATTGTCATTAGTGACATTGACATGTATATCACAAAGGTCCCGTCGTTCAAAGCTCAAATCTCGATATCTCAGTTGAGAGTGCGTAACAGGGCTCGTCGAGATAACGTTGTTGTTGTTGCGCAGCAATGTCCACCATGAGCTCAAGTCGTCCCTCCCCAACGCACTAGCTCCTCTTGGCGAACAAGGGTCTCTCCGCGCATCGCGAATTTCCAGTCCGACCATCACCACCAACACCAACAACCCACCTCCGCCTTGCCCCCGCCATTGCGCCTCACACAACACCCACGATGAACGTCTCCGCATTCCGACCGGTCTTCCGACCCTACAAACCCACTCAAACCACGCAAGCGACAAACATCTGGCAAAGAACCGCACAATGGACATGTCCGCAGCAGCAGCAAAAGTCGCAACGAGCAGCCTTCTCATCGACACCAAACATGCAGAAGAGGAGTAAAAAGGGACCGGGGAATGATCCTAGGATAAGTACGTCTCCCCCTTCTATCTCCCCATCAACCCACCCCGATGTAACCCAATCCATCCCATCCAATTCCCTCCACCAACCCTCCCCTCACCACAAAACCCCAGCTAACACCCCCCACAGCAAACATCCGCTACCACCTCTCCCACCCCCTAACCCCCCGCCCCCTCCACTTCTCCCGCAACCGCTCCCTCCGCCACTGGACAATCCACCGCGCCTGGCTCTTATTCCTGCGCAAACGTCGCTGGGCCGAAGAACGCGCCCTAGAACGGCAATACATGGCCATGCGGTCTGCATGCGAGCACCTGCGTCTCATGGACAACAACGGCAATCTTGTGAAAGAAGAGGAGGCTGGGGGCCGCGGCGCGGATCCGAGTCGCCTAGGGACGAAGGGCAGGGAGGTGGGAAGGTTGTATCGCAGTGCGATGTTGAAGCGGGGGATTTGGGGGAGTGTGCCGGTGGAGTATGGGAGGGTGCAGACGGATTTTCCGGCGAGGGAGGGGTGGAATCATGGGTGGACGAGGGATTAGATGGTTTGGGATGGTCTGGGATGGATTGTGGGTGTTGGACAAATGTGGATGCAATGATGGGATTGTACAATATGTATATAGCAAAAAGGCGGTCGATGTCGTTATTCGCATCGCGTATACATTCATTGCCGTGAACGTTTATCAAATATGACAAAGCATGCGTGTGATATCTCATTGGTAGATTACTGTCTTCTAGTTTACTGAGTGAGCCCGATCATTCCTCTCTCAAGAATATACAACTAATCGCCAAAAGCAGAAGCCGAAATGAGTGGATGATGATGGCGCGTTCTCGTCAATCATTAAGCCAACATCTTTCGAGTAGATAAAGCTAGAGAACCCGACAAACGTATGTTTCTGCCTCGGCTTCCAACAGCAGCATCAGAACAGCCAGTCTTTTCTCTTCTCTTTCCAGCTCCATCAAAACAGAAAAAGGTTATGTGTAATGCAGTTTACGCGCTCAAACAGTAAATCGCCCATAAAGAAGAAAAATGAAGAAGAATCGAAAATTGAAGGCCCCAAATATATCGTACCAACTCCAGTGTGTCGTGACTCCGCCCAATGCAGTGTGTGTGATATGAAGATAAGAAGAAGATATAAGATGCAAGAGAAGACGATTTCTCAAAGTCTCACAGGACAACGCATCCGCACCCGGGATTCTCCTTCTTATCCACACTCAGCAGCGCTGCCCTAGTCGCCGCTTCAAAAACATCGTCCACGCCATCCCCTGTCAGGGAACTACATTCTAGGTATTTCCTCGCGCCAATCATGTCCTTCATATCGGCGCCTTGTTTCGGTGTCGTAAACCTCAAGCTCTTCTTGCGCATTTCTTCCTGTGCGAGGGGGTCGTCGCGGAGATCTTTTTTCAGGCCGACGAGGATGATGGGGACGGTGGGACAGCGTTCGCGGGCCTCCTCTGCCCACTTGTGCTTAACGTTATCGAGGGAGTCGGGGGAGTCGACGCTGAAGCCGATGAGGATGACGTGCGCTTTGCTGTAGGCGAGGGGACGGAGGCGCTCGTAGTCTTCTTGGCCGGCTGTATCCCATAGGGCGAGTTGTACGGACTTGCCGTCTACTCTACAGTCGGTGACGTAGTTTTCAAAGACGGTTGGGACATAGCGCTAATGACGGGTTAGGATATTGGGGAGACGGCTTATCGGTCGATGTATTGGACGTACTGTTGGAAAATATCCGAGAGTGAAGACGCTCAGAAGACTAGTCTTGCCGCAAGCACCGTCGCCAATAATGACCAACTTCCTAAAGGCACAAGATCAGCATGTTGTGTGGGTGAAGGGTGCATGGTGTGACAGCGTCGGCGTGACAGCGTCGGCGTGACCGAGAGTGGATGTCGGCGCAAACAAGAGGATGAAGTGCAGTGCATGACCAAAAAGAGGAAGAATTGAGCGCGAGTCGATAAAAAGTGGACATGGGGGACATGTAGGGTGGCCTATTTTTAGTTGGTCGTGTCGTCGGACCGGGTGCGCCAATGCAAGCTATGGCGCAAACCGGGGTGCCTCAGCTCCAACGATGCATCGTACCATTGCAAGAGAAAACTGAATGTGATGGAGAAATCGGAGAAACTGCTGGGTAGACGCAGAATTGGTGTCGTCAAAAGAGAGTCGGACGGAAGGAAATAACGTTGGGAAAAGCAATTGCGCGCGTAAGAAAACGGTCGTGAGAGATCGACATGAGATAAGTTTTGACCAGGGTCCAGAAAGTGAAGATCAAACGTACCTGCGCATTACAGGCTCGCCATTCTGCTGCTGCTGGGCCATTGTGGGGGTGTGTTTGGGGAAATGCCGCACTCAGCGGGAGCCTTGTCCGGAGATGCTGGGTCGTGTTATTGGCTGGAGCGCGTTCGCAGTTGCGGTCGTGGTGTCGTGGAAGCCGAGAGGAGTGGTGCGCGGGTGGAAGGATACAGTGAAGTAGCCTTGTTTGCGCGAGAGTGTTGTCGAGGGTGTTGTCGGGGTAATGCGAGTGTAATGGCGCGAGCGAGGTGGTCTCGGGCCCAACGATGGTGATTGGCGATGTTATGGCTCGCGACGAGCGAGTGTCAATGGCGCGCCGGGGCGAGAGAAGCGACAGACGACCGGAGGGGTGGTGAGTGTCGGTGGATGGGCGTCGAGGTGAAGGTGAAAGCAATGCGTGAGTCCGGCGACAGCAATGGGTGATGGGGAGCAAAAAGCGGTGGTGCAGTAATGAAGTGGACGGGCCGGTGTTTAAGAATGAAGCTTGGGGACGATCACAGCGGAGACAGGCACGAGCTAAAGCTACAGACGGCTGGGCTGGGGTCGGGGGACGCTGGCACTGGCGTGGTCAGGGTGCGGTGTGCGAGAGCGAGTGTGTTGAGATACGAATGAATGGCCGTCGCGGAGCACTTGCACTGCACAGCCTCTCGCCCAGTTCCTTCCGTTCCAGAAGACGCCAAGACGTGGCACCTGCGGCAGGTGCGAATCGCAACGCGGTACCACAATGGGCCGACGACCATCAACAAGAGGCTACGACAGCGCGGCATGTGCTAGCAGCCCGAGCCCGAGCACACGACCGTCATACCCCAAAGCCTGAACGCCTGTCTGCCGCGACACAGCACGAAGCCCCCCATCTGCCCTGGTGTGCGTGACGCCCCTCCAATTCCTCTCCTCCACCTCCACCTCGCACTTTTGCTCCCCGGTGGCCGTACGCTAGCCCTCCCGCGCCATCGCCCGAGCTGTCACCCACTCGACTCCCCAGACCCGCGCTCTAACAGCCGTGCAGCAGGACACCGCGACACACACACACTGCCCCCATGGCCCAGGGAACACGCGGGCCCGCCCCGGCTCAACTGCCGCCCAACGGCACTGCGACGCACGCCCACGATGCCACCCCGACCGCCGTCAACCGCAAGAAGCAGAAGCGACGCGAGAAGGAGGCCGCCAAGCGAGCCGCACAGGAGCCGCCTGCGCCTGCGCCCGCGCGGAATGGCGTGTCGCCTGCCCGAGGGCCGCCCGGCCAGCAGCAGTACGCCGACGCGGAGCTGGACGAGGCGGCGTACGACGAGGGGGAGTACTACTCGGACGAGGAGTACGAGCACGCCTACGGCACAAACGGCGACTACCCGCAGGGCTACGGCCACGCCCCAATGCGCAGCCAAGCGGGCAAGAAGACGCGGCGGAAGAAGAAGGCGCCCTCCGCACCCCCTCCGCTGGCCTACACCCAGCACGTCGCATCACGCCTCAGCCCCGCACCCGCCCACCAAATGTCGCCCGCCCACTCGGTCGCGCGCTCCGGCGCCCGCGGCGACCGCATATGGAACACGACCATGCAGGACGAGCGGGACCGCATCCGCGAGTTCTGGCTGTCCCTCGGCGAGGACGAGCGCAAGTCGCTCGTCAAGATCGAAAAGGAGGCGGTCCTGCGCAAGATGAAGGAGCAGCAGAAGCACTCGTGCAGCTGCACCGTCTGCGGGCGGAAGCGCACCGCCATCGAGGAGGAGCTGGAGGTTCTCTATGATGCATATTACGAAGAACTCGAGCAGTACGCGCACCACCAGCAAGACGTCGGTAGTTTCATTCCCGAGGCTAATTATGGTTATGCGTCCAGTGCTCCTCACCACCCGCGCCCCATGCTGAACCCCCACCCCCCGCCCGGCCCCTACGACGACGAAGAAGAGTACGACTCGGGCGAGGAAGAGGAGGAAGACTCCGAGTACGACAGCGAGATCTCGTCAGAAGGCGGCTACAGCTCAGGCGAGCGCAGTCTGCCGCCGCCCGAGCCCTCAGACTTCCTCCAGTTTGGCAGCAGTCTGCAGGTCAAAGGTATGCCCGCCCCCGACCCGTGCTGGGAGCATGCTGATTCATCCTTTTAGGTGGCATACTTACGGTTGCTGACGATTTGCTCAAGAACGATGGGAAGAAGTTCATCGAGATGATGGAGCAGCTCGCTGAGCGTAGGATGCAGCGGGAAGAAGATGCTCAAGTCCAGGCTCACCCCGGCGCCCAGCACCGATCCTACAGCGGCCACAGCCACAGCGCGCCTCCGCCAGACGAAGACGACTACGACGAAGAGGGCGAAGATGAGGAGGAGTACGACGACGACGACTACGAGGAGGACGAAGAGGATGAGGAAGTGCGTATTCTAGGCTGGACTATCTATCTGCAACTAACCCCGCCCAGGGCGCCATGACCGAGGAGCAACGGATGGAGGAAGGCCGGCGAATGTTCCAGATCTTTGCAGCGCGAATGTTTGAGCAGAGAGTGCTCCAGGCGTATCGAGAAAAGGTGGCCGCGGAACGACAACAAAAGCTACTCGAAGAACTGGCAGAGGAGGATGTGCGGAAAGATGCAAAAGAGGCAAAGAAAGCAAAGGAAGCCCAGAAGCGCAAGGAGAAGAAGGACAAGCAACGGCAGCTGAAGGCGGAACAGGAGGCTCGCAAGGAAGCCGAACGAGCAGCCAAGGAAGCCGAGGCCAAGGCTGCGGAGGAGAAGCGACTAGAGGAACAGCGGAAGAAGCGAGAAGAGCAGCGCAAGAAGAAAGAGGCTGAACGCAAAGCCCAGGAGGAGGAGAAGCAGCGCAAGGAGGCCGAGCGTCTGAAACGACAGCAGGAAGAGCGCGAGCGACAACAGGAGGCAGAGAGAAAAGCACGCGAACAGAAAGCCCTTGAGAAGAAGGCCAAAGACGAGGCAAAACGGAAGGAACGTGAAGAGCGGGAAGCGAGGGAGAGAGAAGCGAAAGAGAAGAAGGCACAGGAGGACAAGGACCGCAAGGAACGGGACTCGAAAACCAAGGGCCAAACGCGCAAGGAGGATCAAGCCGCCGCTGCAGCTGCCCACAACGCTATTGCGGGTGCGAAAAAGGCCTCACAGCCAGTAGCTGTTGCGCTACCTCCTCAATTGCTAAAGCAGAATTCGTCTACGGGAATGCCATCGCCGCAGGTCACGCCAGCTGTACCGAAGGCTCCAACCCCGAACCGACCGCGCCAAACATCGCACCAGACCTCCCACGGCTCATCGCCAAAGACTCCCCATGCTACCCTAGGAACAAGCAAGTCGACATCCCCAACCTCCCAGCTGCCAAACCAGTCGATACCAAGGTCGATCTTGACGAAACCGCCAATCCAACAGCAAGGTCTAGGGACCCCGCATGGGCAGCCATCGTCGCCGATGCCACCTATGGGACCACCGCCAGGTATGCAGGGGCCGCCAGGGCTGGGTATGAACATGCCTCCAGGGCTGAATGGCTTCCCTGGTCATGGATCGATGATGCCTGGAATGATGGGACCACGTCCGAATATACCGTTCTTCCCACAGCCAGCGCCCCAGAGCTTCCGTGGATTCCCACCTCCTGGCATGCACACACCAGGTGCACTTCCAATTGGCCGTGGTTTCCCGATGGAAGGACCACCAGGTTTTCCAGCACCTCCAGGCTTCACTGCGCCAATGCCCTCCGCCTTCCCGATGGGCATGCCGACGCACTCGCGGCAGGGTTCGGGGTCTTTTGAACGACTCTCAAACGACAGCCCCATCACTGGTCCTCAAACACAGCCTATTCAACGGCCAACGCCTATCAAGCGCCCTTCAAGCGTGAAGCCGGGTGATGAGAATGGACAGCAGGGGTCCGATGTAGACGAACTGGCAAATCACCTAGGCAGTAAAGCGCTGCTGGACGACGATGACGAAATCCCCGAGCTACCCGATCGCCGCCCAAGCATGCAACAACACGGCTCAGTGAGAGCGCCATCATTCGGCTTCGCAGACATACCCGGCTCGCAATACGGCTCGTTCGGAGCACCAGGCGGCGGCAGCATCTGGGGCACACCACCCCTCCAGGGCTTCCACTCCGGTGCCAACTGGGGCAACTCGCCCACCTCCAACATCTTCAACAGCCCCTTTTCCATGAACACGACGCGCACCCTCGAACGCAACGCAAACGAGCAGCGCATAGTCTGGCTCCGCCGTACCATCTGCGCCGCATGCAAGACCCTCGCCCCCCGCGCCTCCGACGCAGACGGCTACGTCGACGCGTCGGAAGTACATCGCCAAGTCGAAGCTTCGCGCGGCGCTATGGATCCTGCTGTGAGCGTGGATGAGATCAAGGAGGCGTGCGATATCCTTGATGTCACGCATACGAATGGTGGTGGGAGCCTGGAGTACAAAGAAGATGCCAGTGGCAGGTTGTCGCATATCAAGTTTAGTGATGGCGCGATACAGGCGCCTCCGAGCTCGCTTGGTGAGATTGGCAGTCCTGTGCCAGGCCACAGTGTGCTTGCTGGTGGCTTTGGAGGCAGGTTTCCTGGATTGGGACCGCAGGGGTTCTGAGGAATTGATCGGTCTCCTCTCTTTCTGTTGGACTGTTCCATTCTTTTTCTTTTGGCCAATCAGTTGTCAGCCCTCATGCTTGTTTCTTTAGTAGACGAGAGACGGGTTGGAGGTATAGTCTAGTCTAGTCTCTTCCTCTTGTGGTTGATGGATGCAAGTGGAGGTAATCTAGTCGCTGAGAGATGTGCCATGATGGGATTTTGATGTGCTTTGATCTTGTGATGTGATGTGATATCGTTGATGCCCACGATGCTGACATGATGTTGTTTTGTGGAAACGTACCATGCATGAGCAACGGTGCTTGCTTAGACAGAAGTTCCTCGTCTTCATGATTTTCGTCTGTTCAGACACCCAAGCATACGCAAAGTACGCATTACATGGTATTAGAGGGGGTTCATTACATCATGGATTGCCATTTTGTATCAAGCACTCTTGTACATCTATTGACAACTTACGTGCGATCGAGCGCTATACTCAATACC